TCAGCACGCTTCAGACCTGAGCAGAATCCTTTACAGTCACCAGCAGAGGTCTGCAGATGTTGGCAGCATCCTTCGAGCGTAGCCTCTTGCACGCTGTAACATCAATCGGTGTGTTGAGTACCTTGCTGCAACAATCTACAACAAATGCCGTGTCATCCATCACTCGGTCCTTCGCATCAGATACGGTACTTTTGGGAATCCCAAACCAAACCAGATTGTCCTTCCTACGTTCTCTATCAAGTAATTCCCGTGAGCTTTCGCTAGCGACTTCAGATAAATCAGCTGTCTTGTTCTTTACTTTGTAACAACTTCATCATTTCTACATCTAGGTACTCGTAGGAGCGTCTGATCGGCTCAAGCAGTTGTTGGCTTTATTACCTTGCGTTTCAATATGCCTAGAAATTTTTAGCGCCTTGTCGACACAAACTCGAAAATCTTTTTCCACGGAAGACTTCACAATCATAACTCTATCGTTGCAGCCATGTCTTCTCATGCTGTCAGCTTGCTGTTTATTGGTCTTGCCGAGATGAAGTACTTTACACTTGTCAGCATTAAAACGCAGCTGCCACGCAGCAGCCCAATCAACTGAACTTTCAAGATCATTTTGCAGTTGCATTTCATTTGACGCATCCTTAACTGCATTATAAACTTATGTGTGTGACGTCGTTCGTCACTCGTCAGATTAAACGCACTAAGTTTTCTTATCCTCATCTATTCTTTTTTCAAATCTTCACTCATCCCTGCGTTCACTCCACAAGTGCGTGGAAAATATCGCAATGATCAACGAAATTATAACCATGTGAACGCAGCGAGCCCTCAAGACTCAAGAGTCAAGCGGTTCCCGCGTTCTCAGCTAGCGTGGCATCGTCAGCGCCGTACCAGTGCGCGTCTAGAGCTCGAGCGAGTAATGTGTTGCTCCACGAGCCCTCCCGGTGTTACCTTATTTTATGATGCTATAGCTTATTAAGCCTATTGTATCCATGTATTCCTCTATTGCCTTCACTGTGTATGATTCCAGAATTGTGATTCTAAATTCATGTTATTGAGTGCATATTATAATAAGTTGTCACTGCGAGTCGTGCCGCGCCGATGTAATGGCGGCCATGATCACGAACACCAGCTCATAGGCTCTTGACTATATCATAGTTGATATGTATTTTCTAGTATGAATTCGTCTAGGAGTAATTATTTTAAAAGGGGATTATTTGTCGCATAACTGGATGTACTGATTTGATATTTTCTAGGCCATTTGCCTCACCATTGCCGTTATAATCATTCGAATGTGTAGCAAAGACGCCGTTCTGTTTTCTTCGACACAATCTCATAGAAAAAATTTTAAGGGATACTACTTCGTTCTCCTCTTACAGCCTCATCGAGCCTTACTGCTTCCTGGCGAGTGCCGACATGCGTTTCTTTCAGTCTCCTTTAATTTGAAGCATTTTAGGTAATTTTAAGATATTGTCCTCTAAAGTTTATCTCTAATCTGATCATTTCAGGTACCGTAATCGTAGGCCAAGCCCAACCACAGTCGTTGGCTCTAAACGTAAAGAAAGCCCAACCCAGCGTTGGCACTGTCATACTTAGTAATCAATTTCAAGCCCAACCCCGCGTTGGCGCTATTATCGGAATCGAATCCCAACCTAGCGTTGACGCTATAACTGTAATTGAAGCCCAACTCAGCGTTGGCAAATTTAAGCATAAGAAATTAAATGTCAAGATTAGGTATATCTGGCCTAACTCGTTGAAGCTCAGAAATCTTAAACGTAATTATCGTCAACTTTGTCGTCTCTTCTTCTCGCCTGCCAAAACCACCTCGTGTGAGTAACAAATGAAATATCGCGGCCATGCCGACATAAACAATTCCTGTCATGTCAGTTGTAATTTTGTTATCGAGAAGTCAAATAAGAACGTTCATCTATCCTATAACGTTCAGTACTAAACAATATCTAAAGTCTAAACAATGTGAGTCTACCCCCTGCTTAGTTTAAGTTTCATGTACGTCTATCTCGACCTATTAACTAATATTAAATCTTATTTTCAGCTTACGTCACTCAGCTTACGTCAATAAACGGGAGAAAAAGCAAGTCAACTTTTCCCTACCCCGTTGAGCCCGCACACGTATGTGTCAATGTGACATCGGCATACATGGAGCACCCGCTTGTCACTACTTCTAGTAGATCGTTTATAAAAGCGACAAACAAAACAGGTCCAAGAACGCTTCCTTGCAGCACGCCCCTTGGTATCTTTGGTATTTGTTTCGGACGTTGCAGTCCCAGGCTACGATGGATCGCCTCCTCTGATTATCGCTCATTCGCCCTCATTTGGGCCAGCTGATGCAAGATGCTGTTGCTTGCTTCTCGCTGCTAGTAGTGTTGCAGAAGAGTTCGATCTGGGATTGCGCCCAGGAACACGTTCAGTCGTCTCTTGAAGGTCTCCAGGGTGAACTCCCCCTCTCTTAGATCATTTGGTAGGACGTTAAACAGCCTCGGCCCTGCCACAGAAAGTGATCCTTTCCGCAGGGATTGAAATCTGACTGCAGATCTGTTACGTAGTAGGGGGACCTTGCACAGTCTCCCCCTTCTCTCGATGTGACGTGTCTCAATCCTGAAGGTCTCGCTCTCGAAGTTTGGCGCCATTCCGGTTAATATCTTCCATGTGTACAGAATGACATACCTCTCCCGTCTCCTCTGCAGTGAGTACAAACCCAAGCGCCTTAACCTCTCCCAGTAGTTCAATTCTTCCATCCCTCTGATCCTGGAAGTGAAGGTTCGCTAGACACCTTCCAGTTGTCGCACTGCGCCGAGTGTGAACGGGGTCCAGAGCTGGCAGCAGTATTCAAGGATTGGTATTACAAGGGCTCTAAAGATTGTGAACACTGGTTCCGCTTCTCTTGCTCTGAACGTCCGCCAGATCCACTCCATCAGCCGCCTACCTCTTGCGGTTATTGCCGTTATGTGATCACCAAAATTGACCTGAGTATTCTCTTCGATTTCCGAGTTGTCAGATGCTAGGTAGCGGTGCTCCATACCTGCTCTTCCGCTACCTCTGTATCTCAAAACCTCAAACTTGGTCTCTTTGAACTACATATTGTTCACTTAGGCCCAGTCATATATTGCAGCGAGGTCTTCTTGCAACCTCTCGCAGTCTCTGCTGTCCGTTATGGTCATTAGTATCCTGGTGTCGTCCGCGAATGACGATTCAGAGGCGTGGTTCACTGCCACATCTATGTCGGTGATGTGAATGAGGCCACTGCACACTGTTGCCCAGTCTAATTGTGACGTCGCTCTGAGACGCTCGTCAGCTTCAAACACACCCTTCAGCTACATCATCTATACCCGGCAGAACTTTGTCATAGTCCCCCTTAAATGACACTCCGTTTTCTTTGGGACAAACAGGCCCCGCTTGGGTTGCTCTACAAACACCCCAAGCTTCAGTCTGCCTTTTTGTGCAGTATTCCATGTCACCCATATGAAATAAAGCGAAGAAAAATCCCACGGATTTTTATTTCACTCCCGTTGAGCCAGACATCTAAGCCACTAATGCGGTTCCGTTAATGCTGACACGTTGTCTTCCGCCTACTAGGAAATCCCTGATCCTTTGGTGTACATTTCCATCTATTCTCAAAGACTTCACTTCACGTAGCAGCAGAAGTGGGCAGTAGCGCGCTACATGTAGCGGACGCTACATTTTCAGTAGCGGTAGCGGCGCTACATCTAAGCAATTGTAGCGGTAGCGGTAGCGCCCGCTACATATTTAAGTAGCGATACGAGGTTTTGCCGCTACAGCGCTACCGCTACATTTATAGATAAAGCTTTTAGATTTTACTTAATATCTGTCTCTTATACACATCTAGATGTGTATAAGAGACAGATTGTCACGGATCTAAATATCACCTTCTGAGGTTGACAGGCAAAATCTTGAATGGATCTGTCTGATCTACTAATTAGACGTAGATAGACCTGAGGGGTTTTGGTTCATTTATAAATTGTCCGAATAACAGATTAAATACTCATCGGCCAGGGAAGGATAAATAACAAGTCGTGTATCTAAGCTTAAGTATTGAAGAAAGGTTCATGGGATACACTCGATAGAAGTTACAGGATCAAGCACAGTATGTGCAGTAGATTGGGAGATAGAGTTAACGACACTACATATTGGTCTGAGTGCCGGAGTCTGCATGACTGCAGCTGAAGGCTGTCTGCCTAAGACTGAGACTCTGCTGGGACTGACTAACAGTGCGCTTTCTCAGCTTATATACGCGGTGACCCACGAGTAGTGACGTCACAGAAGGTGACGTAATAGTCAGTAATGACATCACAACCCTTTCTCAGCTTATATACGCGGTGACCCACGAGTAGTGACGTCACAGAAGGTGACGTAATAGTCAGTAATGACATCACAACCTGACAGGAACACTATCAAATGCCTTGGCAAAATCGAGGTACACTGCATCCACTGGCTCCTTTCCGTCTAGCAGGCGAGTCCAATTATTCAAAGTAGACAGGAGTTAGTGGTGTATGATCTGCCAGCCATAAAGCCATGCTGACAGTCTGATTGAAGATGGTTAAAAGTCAAGTGATCTATAATCCTATCCCTCATAACCGATTCCATCACCTTACACACAACACTTGTGAGACTGACAGGACGGTAGTTACCGGAGTTACTTCTGTCACCTTTTTTGAACAGTGATGTCATTTGAGCTTCTTTCCAGTCCAGTAATTTTATTTTAGTTTAATTTAATTTTCAAGATCTCCAGCGCACAAAAATTATTGTCGAAATGTCATTATAACGATTAAATTTGAATCTATCAAAGTTCTGTTTAAGGCATTTTATTCAGTATTAGCGCCAATTAGTCCACTTAAAGTAGACCGTGAATTCGCAAGCGAACAATAATTTGTGATATTATTAGTGAAGCAACAGATAAGAAATTCAATATTACTTGTTTGGCTTCAAGTCGAAAAAGTATCTAGTCATAATTATATTTATAAAAAGACAAGGAAATGTTGAAACTGCCACTGAAAGTGTCGAGCGGTCACACGGCGCACGACTTGGACGCTGCGACCCAGCGGAGGGTAAGCAGGCACCGGCCAGGAGACTTCCAGGATGTGGTGATGCTGCAGCCTGGGGGCTGGGTCATGCTGCGCCGGTACCTCAAGCTGCACCAAAAGATCTCCAGCTTCCAGGTATTATATCAGTATTATTTTATCAGATCCCAGCTCTGTGCGTCAGTTTCTGGTCAGAATCGGCAAGGAGGCCGGGCGGTTAAGCAAAGCAAAATTGAAGCAGTGAGTTGCGAGTTCAAGCCCGCAACAAGCTGTGGAATATCTGCAATGTTAAGAATCGGCGACAGGCCTCCAGCCTAATAAATGCTGAAACCGCTATATATTATATATAATTATACCTAAATGTTATTATATTATTCCGGTATAATGCCTTCATATATTTTTCCAGGCATAATACCAGTAATATCCCTTTATAATATTCCAGGCATTATATAACCAAATTTCCAGTTATCATACGTCTGGTGCTTCCAGGCGTCTGTTTCCCAAGCTGTCGAAAGTGTTTAATTGAAAAAAAGTCTTGCCTTATAATGCGATAAGAAAATATTGCGCTCTCAACGGAATATGCATTTTGTTTTATTTTTTCTATGCGTAGATCAGTTTGGCATTCCAGGTCTTGTGATGTTGAAGCCAAATTCACATTTGCATCGTCGTTTCTTATCATAGAAATAATATTTTACATACATTTTGTTCATATAACAGCGAATGACATTACTTGGATAGACAATTTGCAGAAAAGAATTGGGTTGACAATCTTCAAATCGTTGTTTGAATTTTTTTCCTACTAAATTCTTTATATGAGAGCTTTTCTCAACTTGATTACTTGTGTCACAAGATACTTTCGCGATGATCACTCAAGAAACTCATTAACATTTAACACAAAGTTGATTGGTGTGCAACGTTGCAGTTTCGTGCTGACGACGTCGTCGTGATGACGTTCCCTAAATGCGGCACCACGTGGTGCCAGGAGATCGTCTGGAATATGAGGAACAACCCCAACCTCGACAACCCTGACGCTGACCACGCCCTCTTCATCCGGAGCCCTTTCCTTGAGTGAGGTTATAGAATAGAATAGGATCGAATGGAATAGAATAGAAGTGTTAAGATCACTTGGCTGCTTATGTCGCAAATTTATCAGGAATTTAAAATTAAAGAAAATCGGCAAAAAGTTCCCCATTTCTTATAAGAGAAAACGTTTTGGAGTTCAGCTCCATCGTCAGTTTAAAACCTATAACTATGCAACAGTATGACTGTATATGTATATATGATAGAGCTTGTTTTTCCATGCATGCATCTGCAATGTCACTTATAGAACACTGGTACAAACAATTAGTAGCTTAAAATTCACATTCAAACAATTCACCTAAACTTAAGGACACTAGAACTAAAATCGAAAGTAAAACAAATAAAAATTAGATAACATTTGGAGAAGGTACTATCTATTTGCAATTTGCGAGGATAGGGACTGATTGAGGCATTTAAACTGGGCTTCTGTTTGAAAATAGATAATGATTCTAAAATTCGTAGGTCAGAAACACCGGTTGTGGAGGCTAAAACTCTAAAATCACTGTTGGACACCAGGAAGTTGCACTGCTCGGCATGAATACGTACGGCTGAATGAGGGGGATGCGCAAGTATGTTTCCTGTTCCCCACTCTGTTTTATACTAGGCTTGCAGAGCATAGAGGCAGGAGTTATAGAACAGGGAACATACTTGCGCATCCCCCTCATTCAGCCGTACGTATTCATGCCGAGCAGTGCAACGTTCCGGTGTCCAATAGTGATTTTAGAGTTTTAGCCTCCACAACCGTTGTTTCTGACCTACGAATTTTAGAATCATTATATATTTTCAAACAGAAGCCCAGTTTAACAACTTGATCGGGTACCTCTCCAAGTCAGTTTAATAAGAGTTTTCGTCGGAGTATTAATGAAGACTTGTTCCCACAAGCATTTATTCAAAAACACAGTTTATTTACAGCACAGATGAATGATAGGTTGAAATTAACATACGGGGCAAGCATCTGAATAGGCAGGAGGCTGAGTAACCCGTCGCAAACACTACCACATTCGAGGTAACCTTCGGTCTTGACACTACATTTTGGAAAACCCGCTATTTTGTTAGAAATAGTCCGCACACCCAGTTTAAATGTCGCATTCAGTTCCCATCCTCTACAAATTGTAAATAGATAGTACCTTCTCCACATGTTATCTCATTTTTATTTCTTTTATTTTCGATTTTAGTTCTAATGTCCTCAAGAATAGAAATGTCGGAGAATAGAAAAAGAAATAGGCCCCATGGCCTGTTGCCTATTCTTGTACTTTTCGTGACTTGATTCCGCAGGGGATCCGTCCTTATGAACCCGATCTTTCCATAACTTTTATGCCTTGCGTTTTTTCATTCAAGATAGCACCTAGAAATTCTCATTTAAAATAAGATGAGGGTATGTTTTCTAGATATTCAATATATTAAAAAATTTGTAGAATTATTGACTCGGAAAATTTGTTTTCCCTTTATTAAGTGTGAATTACATACAAAATTTGAAATAATTATTTTAAATTCCAAACGCGAGGTAAATAAGAGTTTCTCGCTAAATGTGGTCAAGTACGAGTCTATATTTAATTAAAAGTGCATTACTTTGAAACTCACTAAAGGGTTTCAAACGCGAGGTTAAGAACAACCAGATACTGAAATATGAAGACATTTCTGCCCTATAAGGAGCGCCCTGTCAAGCTGCTGGTCTTGTGACGAATTCACAGAATTATTACTAATTTTTGTGTATGCAATTTTCTTATGAATTATTCATTTCTCTCTATTTTTTTGCAGATACATTTACTCATAAATTAGAAACATTGGTATTTATTCCATATTGTATGCTATTCTAATGACGAATAAACTTGCACCAGAGTCGACATGTTGACTCGAGGCAGTCCTACGACAGATCTAACTGCTCCGAGGAGACAAGCGTTCTTCAAAGGCATCGAGATATATAGTGTTGTCCCCGACTTCGAGAACGGCTTCATGATAGAGGTGTTGATTCACGATGAGTCGTTCCACATATACTGTATAACTTAATGCAGCTACGATCGTTTGATTAATATTTCTATAATTATTTGTCGCCTTTAATTATTCTTTATAAAATTTACCGTCAATCTTCATTTGTGCGCTTCATGGATGCCTTATTTGCAACAGCTGAAACCCCTTAAATAGCGCTGATGAGTAATTTTATCTGCATCTTTAATTGAAAATATTAACCTAATTGTAGAATTTTGGTGCACTCTTATTCGTAGGCTAATCAATTATACTTAAAATGAGAATAAATATCCCCGTCCATTAAAGTTCATGTCATCATTTTCGTCTCAACAGTTGGCCGAGGCTCACACCAAACCCCGGACCATCAAGACTCACCTCGCCTTCTCATTGCTGCCAAAGAACTTATTGGACACATGCAAGGTTTGTATATAAATAAATTAACAACTTATTGGACACATGCAAGTTTTGTATGTAAATAAATTAACAACTTATTGGACACATGCAAGGTAGCCTATGAATGTAAATAAATTAACAATTAATTGGATACATGCAAGGTTTGTATGTAAATAAATTAACAACTTATTGGACACATGCAAGGTTTGTATGTAAATAAATTAACAACTTATTGGACATATGCAAGGTTTGTACGTGAATAAATTATCAGATCCATGCATGAACATTCCAATATTTAAGAGTACGTGAGTTATATAAAGAGAAGGTATATGAACAGTGAACATATCATTGATCATTTAATGTTCATATCTCCACTAATTTGTCTACTGACGGTGACTTATAGTGACCAAATTACTCTAATGCAATTCCTGTCTTATTCAAAAAATGAACCCTAATTATACTACAAAATTTAACGTTTGATGAAGGGAAGATTTTGGAATCCTTCTGTAGGCTTTTGAGAACCACTTTCTCGTTAATTTGTCACCGAAATCAATCGTAAATTGTCATTCGTGTCTTTGTGTTTGTGTGAAATTTACAGCATTTGATTCATTTGATGTGCCGTCACTATGAGCCCATTGACAACCCTCAATGAGTTTAAATATTATGCATTCAGGTGCAAGTTAAGGAGGTGGAAATCATGTTTTTTATTATTGCATTGATGCTCCGAGCATTTGATGTTATATCGCTGCCGTTCCAAATCTCACTTTGCAAAACATTGCATGTAAAATCTTTACAAAACTATTTACAATGAAAAACGTTCCTTGCACATAGATAATTGTTATAGCAAAGTGATGCCTCACAAAAGTTGTATTTGCTACTTAAATATTGTTCTATAACTCATTGAATAATATGTAGGAGAATATGCTGCATAAAAAGTATGGAGTATATGATCCGTAACTCGACAGGTTGTGTACGTGTTCCGTAACCCGACAGGTTGTGTTCGTGTTCCGTAACCCCACAGGTTGTGTACGTGTTCCGTAACCCGACAGGTTGTGTACATGTTCCGTAACCCGACAGGATGTGTACGTGTTCCGTAACCCCACAGATTGTGTACATGTTCCGTAACCCGACAGGATGTGTACGTGTAACCCGACAGGATGTGTACGTGTTCCGTAACCCCACAGATTGTGTACATGTTCCGTAACCCGACAGGATGTGTACGTGTTCCGTAACCCCACAGGTTGTGTACATGTTCCGTAACCCGATGGACAACGTTCTCTCAGCTCTACATCACTATAAGTTGGTCAAAATTCACAGCTTCGTCGGCACTCAAGACGACTTTGTCGATATGTACGTCGATGACTTGCGCAAGTCAGAAAATGCGTTTAGTCGACGACGAAAAAAAAATGTGCTCGTTAATTACACGAATTTCACTGCGATTTTAACTTCAGTCGTCTGAGAACAATGCAGTTACGACACACTTAACTAATTTTTCTCGACTAACAGCAGTAGTGTTGTCAAAACTGTTAATAGCGTTCTTTCTTACAAAAATCTCCTCTTCACTCGACTATCAAGATTTTCGACTCGACTATCAAGATTTATGATTTTTAATCTTTACATTCCCTCACTCGCCCAACAAATAGTTCAATCTGCAGCTGATTTTAAGCTAAAATATGTGACATCCACGATAAATCATTTACAATCGCTGCAAAATTACAATTTGATACATTAATTCATAATAAGCAACGATACCTTTCTATTTAAATTGTTCTTTACAACAATTGTCATGGTTTCTCCCACTCAATATAGTCGCTACTTTCTAGAGAAATGCGCCGCTCTTAGATCGGATGCCACTATAAGATACGATAAGTCCACATCGCTATCAAGTTTAATATAGACCATAAGCTATGCCTAATCATGAATTGGTCTTTGCAAGCCTCACCAAAATGTGCGCCGCTCAAATTCTTATACATCTTGGCTGATCTACTGAGATGTTAATTAAGAACACCGCGTGACAGTTTGTACAGCCCGTACGGCCAGCACCTGCGGGAGGCGTGGGCGCGACGCGGTCACCCCAACCTGCACGTCGTCTCCTTCGAGGAACTGAAGAGCGACACGCGCGCCCAACTCTGCAGACTGGACGCCTTCCTCGGCACCCGCCTTACGGATCAGCAGCTCGAGAACGTGCGTCTTGCGTCCATAACTCAATTTCTTTATTGCTATACGGTATCTTGCTCAAAAATTGTTTTTAAATGAACAAATTATTTTACTGCCGTACTAGATTTTCAACGAGGTGAATTTTTTACACCACTGAACACTATTGAAAGTGTTCAATAGTGTTCAGTAGTGGCTATTGAACACTATTGAACACTTACAATGGAGTTCATTAGTGTTCAAACATCATTCACCGAAACTGATGTCGCTATAATGTAACCTAACGCTCGTTTGATATGCTCCCAATTGCATGACACCTCATCAAACGGCGCTATGTGTAATGTTTGTTGTGTGTGAAGTGAGTTGTATAGAACGGTGTGTGAATAGTGATCTGACGCCTCAGTTATCACTATAGGTAGATTTTCATTATGATTATTACGGTTGTTTAAATTTCTTCTTCGAATAATTGGGAGTGGGCGACTCGTCTTACAGCACACAGGATGTTAGAGTTGCTCGCACTAACCAAGATAACGAAATGCTGGGAACTTATCATAAAATTTTAATTCTCCAAGAAACTCGCGGAAGATTTTACATTAACTAAATCGAATTGTTGAGAAAATAAATCCTTTCTTTAAAAATTCTCCAAATTAAGGAACAATTAAATGAAACAACAATATGTACTGCTACAATTATGATTTGCAATGAATATTTTAACGAAATTTAAGGAAGCTTTAGTATATAAAAAGAATAGTTTCCATTAAAAAAACATCGTCAAGTTATTCTTACGCCTGACATGAGTCTTTGACGCGTGCAATTTGTCCAATGCAATTAATATATTTAAGAGCAGCAATCAATGCAAATAAGAACAGCAATCAATGCAATTAAGAGCAACAGTCTTTTTATTTACTAATGCAATTAGGAGCAGCAACTAACGCAGTTAAGAGCAGCAGTCTTTTGTTGCGCAGGTCTTGCAGAAGACGAGCTTCAAGACCATGCAAGACAGCGACCCCTTCAAGACAGCTGGACACGACGCCTACAATAGACAAGTGGGGGAGCAAGAGGGGCTCTTTGTGAGGCAGGGTGAGGCATACAATAGACAAGTGGGGGAGCAAGAGGGGCTCTTTGTGAGTAAGAGGGGCTCTTGGTGAGGCAGGGTGAGGCATACAATAGACAAGTGGGGGAGCAAGAGGGGCTCCTGGTGAGGCAGGGTGAGGCATACAATAGAGAAGTGGGGGAGCAAGAGGGGCTCTTTGTGAGGCAGGGTGAGGCATACAATAGAGATGTGGGGGAACAAGAAGGGCTCTTGGTGAGGCAGGGTGACCCATACAATAGAGAAGTGGGGGAACAGGAAAAAATTTTTAGTGAGGCAGGGTGTGTCAGTTAAGGTTTACGGTAAAGTTTAACCAAAGCAGCTTTTCTTCAAGAATAACTTATCTTCTGATAATGATTTGAATTAGTGAAGTTTTAACCCTCTACCGCCTGACACGAGTAACCGGGGCAATATTAGTAGCATATAAACATTACTCATATAATATTAGTAATATTAGTAACCGGAGCAATATTGTCACGCGCGTACTTCCCAAAAAGGATGAGTTCTAGTGAGCGCAAAATGACTTGCACTGATGGTTGCCGCCACGTACGACAACTTTAAAATGTTCTCTGTTGCGTACAAACGTCCTCAGGTTGCTGCACTCAATTGTTTGCGTATAATTTAAGTTGAAAGTTATGTTCCCGGAGAGTGACATACGGCGGTAGAGGGTTAAAGACAAGCAAAAAACTTTTGAACAGAAAAAGTTTTCGATTTACGCACGCTTACACATCGACTGCAGTAATAAATTTCTCTCGGTTTTCATTGGGATTGACATCTTATTTTGAACTTCCCGATACCGGTTATGGGTAACACAGACTTTACAGAAGAATATTTAGGTCAGCAAAACATTTTGTTCAGTGACAACGTGGATTTCGCGCATAAAATGCATTTATTCATTCGATAAAGAAATAGAGGAAAAAATATTGGACAAATTTTTAAATTAGAAACAAAGAGTGAAGGGAAAATTTATAATTTTTTTTTTATTCAGGCAAAGCTGGCTGGCACCTGGAAGGAGAAAATTAGTCAGCAGCAACAAGAGAAGCTCGAGGATTGGATCAAGAAGAACTTTACAGATTACGGTATCAAGTTCAGGTTTGATTAGTCTTCGTCTTTCACAAATTAGATACTTCAGTAATTAAGCTGCAGTACCGGTACTACTCATGGTTAATAACGTGAGTCTACCTGGAGTACTTAGATGTGGGAATAACTCATATTCTCGCTATCTTCAAAAGCTGCTTTAGTCAACTTCATGAGATGCTCACGACACAATATTTGTCTGTATAATTATTATTGCGTCGTACAGTAATTAATTAAATTACTCGCATAATTATTACTCGCATAATTTACTATTACAGTAGTAAATTAATTACTCACATAATTATTATAGTGTTGTACAGTAATTAATAGAATTACACGCATAATTATTACTCGGAATTAATACTATTCATGCAGCAGTACTTGAATTTTTGGTCCCTCTCCTTCATCCACTTGACCTCTCCAGCGAAACCGTCTCTCAAGATCCAGTCAAAGTTGCAAAACACCAAAAATCAACTGAATTATCATTGCGAAGATAATTTCAACCATTTACTTGTGAACGCAATTTATTTATACTAAAATAAATGATTCCGAATAATGCTACAATTTCTGGAATTCGAGTTTTACTTTAATAGGTAAGTATATCAAGTAGAGACAGCGTGTTGTTCTGTATAAATAAATGAAACATGTCTTCAATATGTTAACATGTCTTCAATATGTTAACATGTCTTCAATATGTTAACATAATATTAGTACACATGCATTGCTGTCAACATCGAATTAGAAGGAAACAGTTCATATATATTTTTGAAAAATATAATGGAGTTTCTACATTAAGTGAAAACAGCAAATAAATTGAAGTGTACTAATGTACGTAGTAAGTAGAAAAGAAAACTACGTCGAGACTTTCACTGAAGGCCTTACAGCGCACGCCTCCCGCACGTCTTTCCCTTCGCGTGAAACACATGCATTATTTTATAAGTGAAATTTCTGCTTCGCTTCAAAACACGAACACAATAAATGATATACAGAATAAATGCGAGTTTTTTATCAATACATATTTTGGCATAAAAATATTATAAAGCTTTCCCCAGAGTTTCGTGAAAATAACAGGATGATTCGACACTTTTATCAGGTTTATTGAAGGTGAGTTTCTGCACATAAAAACACGACAATTTTGTAATACGAGATAAACAGGTTAACGTGGTATGCAACAATATGGTTCAAGAGTATAACATACAAAATAAATACATCAAACTAAATTAGCTAACCGAATTATTGGAGGAACTGGGGTAAATTTCGAAAAGGTCCGAGTAAATATACTTAACGAAACGAAAGCAAATTCAAAGGTTGCGTAATGTCGTCGGTCTATAAACGTTCTGTCTACAGAATGACATTAGCTCCTGACGACACCTCCTATTACAGCATTAAGAGAAGCCTAAACAAACATGCTACATAAGAAATAGTTGTTTTGAAATCAGATCCACCCAACAACCTATAATTCAGACTTCAATTTTTAAATAAGATAAATCATAAAAAAAACGAAGAAATTTAGGCAGAGGTTACCTCTAATCTGCATAGCTATTATGATTTTTTACGCTGCTGTTACTACATTTGGCGAGAATTGTCCACATATTAACTAATATTTTCAAACTATTTAACTTTTTACTCTATCAAATATTAACATTTTACCTTTTTCACACATCAACATTTTAGGTCAATTACTATGTGAAAGCAAAATCAAACACATGAATATCTTACGTAGAGGTTATATTATAATGCACTGCTGATATTACTATCGCAATCGTGGCAATCGTCTTCTAGAAAATGACTTCAGTTTGGTTGCTCATAACTTTTCGTGTTCCACATACTTCAAAATCCTTGGTTCTACAGAGTATTTTACTTGTTCAAAGTTCAGTGCAGGTTTTTTCATTTGTACTAAACTCTCTGCTAAATTTCTGGCACATAAACGGCTACCGCGCTCAGCTGATTAAGTTCGAAATGATTAATTAATGTAAAATGTGACTTAAAACACTGCAGTAAATCTGTCATTTATAATAGTGTAGCGGGGGGCAGGTATAGTGAGCTGCAATAGTGTAGCGGGGGGCAGGTATAGTGAGCTGCAATAGTGTAGCGGGGGGCAGGTATAGTGAGCTGCAATAGTGTAGCGGGGGGCAGGTATAGTGAGCTGCAATAGTGTAGCGGGGGGCAGGTATAGTGAGCTGCAATAGTGTAGCGGAGGGCAGGTATAGTGAGCTGCAATAGTGTACCTATAAAACCAGCTTACACCGTCACAAAGCAGGTATGGCAAGACGAATGCACCATCAAGTTCTCAAAGTATTCATCATTTATTTCTCAATCATTCAACACGAATCAATCAATCTTGATGCCACTATAGGGTGCAAATTTAACACGAGTTGCAAAGTTCCTAGCGAAAATATGAATTACTATAGAGGTAGTGATGAAAACACGTAATATCAACGTAAAACTGCTTACAAATAACGGATGGTGAACGAAATCTTAAGCACATCAAGAAGAGATTCATAGAAAACGGCAAAAAAGGAAAAAATTCAACGCTAGTGAGAATAAACTCGACTGTAGCTGGTGTAGATACCTTGCAGGTTCATCATCTTACATTACTGCAAAGATTTTCTTTATAAAACAAGAAGAAATCAACATGAATTACATTTGTCATGAATTACATGAATTACAAAAGAATCATGCCTGACGCCTGGACTCCTATAGGATTAAGAAGACTCGCGAGTGAGTCACAAACAAAATATAATAAACAAGTCCTTCCTTAGATCGTAAAAATTGAACAATGTAAAGATAAAACAATATAAACTTAGATAAATTCTACGATAATGTCAGTAATTTTATTAAAATACTAAAATTTATAAACGTGAGAGGAATGTGGAGTAAGCTTTAGGCTGTACAGATGAGACTGTCTCCATACCTCTCCATGCAGGAATGTGGAGTAAGCTTTAGGCTGTACAGAGGAGACTGTCTCCATACCTCTCCATGCAGGAATGTGGAGTAAGCTTTAGGCTGTACAGATGAGACTGTCTCCATACCTCTCCATGCAGGAATGTGGAGTAAGCTTTAGGCTGTACAGGAGACTGCCTCCATACCTCTCCATGCAGGAATGGTAGGCATGCAAGGCCGTAGCTTCCTCTAAGCAATGACATGTTAAGACATCTAAGATGGTTTTAATCACCACTAAATTTATTTAAGGTAGAATACGAATAACAAACCGTAAATGACTATAATCGCAGCAATTATAAATTTATTATTAGTCGAGGCAATTATCAAATTAGCTGGGAGAGATTAACCAGTTCTTTAACATAAGAAATGCAAATTATATTAAATATTAATCTCATGAATGAATTTCTTGTGACTGGATAATGGAAATTGGTATGATAATCACCACATATCGGCATATTTATGCCAAATAGAAATCGTACCTTGAGTAATGAGATTCCTTTTAATGACGAAGTTGGCGAATTTACACGTAGAACTCGTACCTTTAGTAATGAGATTCCTTCTAATAAGACGTTAATGCAATTATTTGTAATGAGACATTTACGCAATTATTAAGAATATCGCACAGCATCATCAGACATTGCACGGCAGCTCACACATGTAGCCTAAATATTCGCTTTATTGCTGCCGTCAATAAATTATATAAGAAATAAATAAAATAGCGCCATACCACTTAAAGCAACATACATTCAATGCAAGTCACTCAATACAATAGAGAGACCAAAGTAATTAGTGTATTATAGTTATTCATGCAATGCAACTGCTAGGTATAACAGCGAGATAAGATATAATGAACTCTGTTTCATTCCGATCGCAAGACCAATTTTTCGCTCCAAAGATCACAAGCCAATATTTCGTCCAAAGATCACAAGCCAATATTTCGTTCAAAGATCACAAGCCAATATTTCGTCCAAAGATCACAAGCCAATATTTCGTTCAAAGATCACAAGCCAATATTTCGTCCAAAGATCAATAGCCAATATTTCGTCCAAAGATCACCAGCCAATATTCACTGGGGACATAGCTCAAGGCCTTCATCAGAGTGTCCTTCAGGAACGTGGCTGGCCTGGACGAGTCCTTCAGTGTAGAGGCCTTGCTTACGAAGGATTCCTTCAGGTCCTTTAAGGGCGTGACTGCGGATGAAGTCCTTGACTTGCGTGGCGTCCACGTACGCCATCTCCATGCGACAGCCCCACGCCACCAGCGCCAGCGGCTGCAACATCAATAAAATATATAGACTTCTTCTGGGATTACCGTGGCTGTAAAATGCATTAAGAGACTTCATCTTAGATTAGATCTTATTAGATTAGACTTAGTCGTGGTTGTAAAATGTCTTCAGAGACTTCATCTTAGATTATCGTGGCTGTAAAATGCATTAAGAGACTTCATCTTAGATTATCGTGGTTGTTAATGTCCTGAGAGACTTCATCTTAGATTATCGTGGTTGTAAATGTCCTGAGAGACTTCATCTTAGATTATCGTGGTTGTAAATGTCCTGAGAGACACTTCATCTTAGATTAGATCTTATTAGATTAGACTTAGTCGTGGTTGTAAAATGTCCTGAGAGACTTCATCTTAGATTATCGTGGTTGTAAATGTCCTGAGAGACTTCATCTTAGATTATCGTGGTTGTAAATGTCCTGAGAGACTTCATCTTAGATTATCGTGGTTGTAAATGTCCTAAGAGACTTCATCTTAGATTATCGTGGCTGTAAATTGCCTAAAGAGACTTCCTCTAGGATTATCGTTACACGTCCAACGTTACATCCGGGACCCGAGGGCGAGACGGAGGACGGAGGACGACGAAGAGACGGAGACGGAGGACGACGAAGGCGGCGCATCAGCGTGACCGTGGACTAGAGAGTCCCGAACTCATCATAAGGTCATATGCTCACCCTAGCAGGGGTGAGGGGTGTGTAGGGGTGACACTCACCCTAGCAGGGGTGAGGGGTGTGTAGGGGGAGACACTCACCTTAGCAGGGGTGAGGGGTGTGTAGGGGGTGATAACGTGCTTGTACAGACACCCCGTCACCAGGGTGCGCAGCTGGGCCACGAGGTGAGGTTGGGTGCAGGGATGGTACAGCATCACCACGGCCCCGTGCTGTAAAAGTCATACACAAATGACGAACAAGTAATGAGTAAAAGTCATGCATTAATGATAAATTATTAATGAAAAGTCATGCTCTAATAATTCATTTAAATCTCATGACGCTTAACCATCTATGACACGAGTAGGAATTTAGCATCTACAATGATGCCACAATGAAGAGAAATGCCGTTGAATTCTGGCCTTCAATGTTTCACATTGGAATTAAGATGATTTTGGATACCAAAAGGCATTTTTCCACCGTGTAAACTTCCCACCATCATTCTACCGTGAAGAAAATGCGTCTATAACCACAAAGCTTGTCACCACAGCAATATCGGGTGTCTACATTTCTGTCTCCACACCATATATATTTCTCTGGACCACACACATATTTATTTCTCTGTACCACATCAATGTCTGTCACCACCACAATGTCCGCCACCACCACAACGTCCGCCACCACCACAATGTCTGTCACCGCCACAATGTCTGCCACCACCACAATGTCTGTCACCGCCACAATGTCTGCCACCGCCACAATGTCTGTCACCACCACAACGTCCGCCACCACCACAATGTCTGTCACCACCACAATGTCTGCCACCACCACAATGTCTGTCACCACCACAATGTCTGTCACCACCACAATGTCTGCCACCACCACAATGTCTGCCACCGCCACAATGTCTGTCACCACCACAATGTCTGCCACCACCACAATGTCTGCCACCACCACAATGTCTGCCACCACCACAATGTCTGTCACCGCCACAATGTCTGCCACCACCACAATGTCTGCCACCACCACAACGTCTGCCACCACCACAATGTCTGCCACCACCACAATGTCTGTCACCACCACAATGTCTGTCACCGCCACAATGTCTGTCACCACCACAATCTCTGCCACCGCCACATGTCACCGCCACATGTCACCGCCACATGCCACCACCACACCACCACCGACACGCCACCTCGATGTTGTGGAGCCAGCGCTGTGGCGGGACGAACTTGTACTCGCCGAAGGCGGGCCAGATGGGGCGGTGGTCGCCGTAGGACGGAACGCGCTCCTCGTACTGCACAAATGCCATACAATCATCAGGCCTCGGCACCTAATCAGTTTAATTATCGCTAATGAGTAATGAGAAATTTGGTCCCCAGATAATATGGTCAGTAATGAGTTGTTGAAATTAATTTATTATTAATTAATTTATTTAATTATTATTTTAATAGAAATAAACTCAATTGATGCTTTTCTATCATAATTCATAGTAAACTTATTTATTTCTGAAGGGTCTATATATCAATAATGAAGATTTGCTTAACAAACTTAATTTGTTCATCTCATATATATTGCAACGCATAGAAATGCAGGAAAAAAGACAACTTTTTACTGATCAATACATGGACAATCAAAGCAAGCAAAATTTAGAGTTGTAAGTTATAACTTCAGGTAGATAAATAGTTCTTCTTGAGTTCTACTTCATTCATTCAAATGAAGATAAAGGTACTGAGGATTTAATAATTTGAAGAAAATATACAATAAAATTGTCGCGTTAGCAAACGGTGAGTTTTTTTTAATGTCTAGTATTTGGGGTCAAAACCTGCGAATGGCACCTGTGGCCTTTACTTAGATAGTTCAATGCTCTTCCAGAGCTCATTCGCATTTAGTCTTTCGGCAGCTACTGATGCCAGATTCGCACATTCACATGCCAGTAGTTTGTCTCTATAACCATTTCATGATCTCAGTACCAATTTTGACTTGTTTATTTTGTATTTACCTATTTCATATGAATTCAATACCGCTAAATTTCATCAGAGTTTACTTGAGATTTGCTAAGAGTTCATCACCTTGGGCATTCTCCTTAGTAAGTTACTGAGCTACCATTGCTGATACAGATGTTTCTTGGAACATAGTTTCGTTTGTGATGATTATTTTGAACTAAATTGTCTATTTATGGTTTATATTGAAAAGTTATTTATCTTGCTGTATTATCCTTGTTTTCAGTTTACGGACTCTGCTTTCGAAAATAAAATTGAAACTTCACTGGACTTTAAATTTGGAACTGATGATCCATTAACTTGGTTAACAGTACGAAGAAAACGAAATCCGTCATGCAGGTAACCGAGACAAATATAATGCATAGCAGAGAACAATGCATTACAATAACACACAACATGACTGGTGTTGTGGGAAACGGCATCATCAACCTCGTGCTTCAGTGATTTTTAAGGTATCTTTCTATTCAAATAGGAAGACAAACTTCATTCATTATTCTGTAATAATCTGGGAGTGTTTGAGTCAAATGGAGTTGGAGTTGGGAAGTGTCACAGCAGTTGTCTGCGGCCAGTAGGCAAGTATAAGATCTAAAGTCAGAAACTAGTAAAGTTTTTAAACACCCCAGGATCTTCCCCCAAGTCTTTTAACATCCTAAACATAACATCAATTTCAACATCCACTAAAAAACCCAATAAAGATAAGCACAGACCTGTCCATCATCACAATGCACATCTTTGACCCCCATCTTGACTCCATGTTTGTCGTCCAGCAGACTCTCCGGCACAGTGTTTGACACGTCTGAAAATAATAGCTTTATTATTATACGTACATGTTTATATGGCAAAATGGAATGAAATTCCTCAGTTAACACCATGATGCAACAAGGTTCAAATGCCACAAGCACTCTGAAGCACCTAATAATATTTGATACATTAAAATTTTCATCTTAAAATGATTTTTTTCATATTTGAAATTTTTTTACATTGACAAAAAAATCAGTGTTATAATGACTGTGCATGCGCTTTGCACCAGAAAAAAAAACATAAATATATTCATATGCAGCAAAGATAACATAATACATTACATATTGCTGCACGGCAGCTAATTACCTGTTTGGTGTTGAATAGGTAATCCTGCGTCTACGATGCGGTGAGGATACCACAGGTCGGAATAGCTGCTGCTTTTGCCTCCACTCTCACTGTCTTCTCTAGTCTTGAAGAAAAGAGGTTCATAAATATTTCATAAATAACAAAGGTAAAGTATCATGATTGTAAAAATATTTTCATTTATCAGGATTGTACTATACATCCATGAAAATTATACAAGGCAGTGGCACAATAGCCAATCAAATATCATTGTATTCATTGCTTCTTATAATGTGAAGAGTTGAAGCTACTAAAATGCTAAACAATAACCATTTCCCCTTGATGGAAGCTAAATGATTCTTAGGTTGTATGTGTCAGGCCACCACCAGAACAAGTTACCTATCTTGATTCAAACAATAACAGCTTTGTACATAATGCATCTGCCTGAAATATGTAATGTCTCTTCCCATAAGACTCCTAAGCAGTTTAACACACTGGGGCGAGGGTGATGACAACACTTAATTCTCTTTATTGTACACATATTCAATGCTTAAAACAAGTTATGTTCAGTGGTTGTAGTCAATGTCATTCTTGTCAGGCAGAAACAATGAGCAATCAGTGGCACAGTCAGGCTCAGAGGTGAAATTTCCTGATACTTGCAGGTTTACTGTGTAGGCATTTCTTTCTGGCGTCCTGACATTATATCTATGCATACTCTGCCTTGCACTTTTATATCAAAGTGGCAATGCATAGATTTTCAAAGGAACTTCTTGAGAAAGACATTTATTCTTCCATTTTATAAACTAATATTACAGTACTTAAGTTCCAGATCTGGCCATGATAGATAGAATCTGCGATGTCAAATATATTTAATGATAGTACTGATTCAAGTAGGTATTTATAATATAATTATTTGGTAAGTTTTCATTGCTCTAGGTGTTTGTAAACCCTTCCCAAACTATCACAAAATGAATATCACAGAAGTGCATCTAGTAATATTTACTTTTTCAAAGGCTGTTTAAGTCTGCTTATTGTTTTTCTGGAACCCACCAACCAGCAAAGATCCCCATGTGATTTTTCTCATTCATATTTCATGAAAACCCATGATGATGCAAAGCTGCTGTAGGTGGTGTAGTAAGATTTGTGTAGTAGAATTGTGTTATCAGCCACATTGTGGGTCTTAGGGTGTTAGTTGCAAGAGGTCAGGAAAACAAGTAATTAGTGATGGTCTCCACCTCCCCAACAGCCATCCCAATCCACCTTTTTACTTGACTTTTCCTTGTTTTTATTTAACAATTTATTGAGCAGCAACACAAGAAGAACAATGTGTGTACAGTGAACAGATAAGAAAAAAGAACCAGTGCAAAACCAAGGCACGGGGGTCTACTCAACCTCAAATAATGGTATGTACCAGTCTGTCCGTTTTTACCCAGTCTGAAAATTAAACATAGGATTAATATGATCAACCTAAGGAGTGCACTAAATACAACCATAAAATATCAAATACAACCACAACACCTTTAATGTGATTACATTAGTGAATTATGTTAGACAATATGCAATCTACTTGTAATGTTAACACTGAAATTTAAACTCCTGCTTTAATTTTAACTTTGATTTCACATTACATTGCATCTCAGGAGAGGGGGGTTTGCAGGACCCCTAGTAGGGAAATCCTACTTCCTTGCAGTATCACTGAAAAGGACTTCCCACAACAGTGAAGTGCAATAAAGCAAGTCACAACTGTGACTCACTTTATTGCAATATTGTGAGTCACGAGACCAATAAAGCAAGTCACTACTGTGACTCACTTTATTGCAATATTGTGAGTCACAGTGAGACACAAGACCAATAAAGCAAGTCACAACTGTGACTGCTTTTAATTAACATAAATAATAGGGAAATAAAAAGTGAATGCACACTATGCTAGATAACTCACTTGTCTGGTGTGAAGAATAACTTGATCTTCAGCCAGTTCATTGTGAGGAACATCAGGGTAATCTGTTTTTCCTTGTAGGCTTTGCTGTTCTTCAGCATCTGCCAAAATATTTATATTCAATTTTTTGAGATTTTATTATTTTATGGAGTTTTATTGTTTTTCTCTGAAGCTAGAGTAATCAATAATCACTTTTTCATTGAAAAATAACAAAATAAAATGAAAGTGTCCAAGAAACATTTGTAGCCTAAACAGTCAACCACAAGTGTATCAATAGAAATGCAAATGAATTTGAACATCCATTATTAAAAACAACATGCAATATATCTTTTCATTTCATCTCAACATCATCATGCATTCTTTAATATAGGACAAATGTGTTCAAGTTAAAAATATCATAATATTTGGTGAAGAAATTATTTATTATGTGGAAGTTGAATTAAACAAATTTACTCAATGACAGGAAAAACACATGAAATGCTTTGAAAAATATGCAACCTAGATAAAAATAGAGAAAAAAATGTAGGTATTAATAATAATTTACTTTGCAGTGACCAATAAGAAAATATGGCTTATAAATTCAAGCTCCACAAGTAAATTACTTTGACCCTAACTTAATAGCAGAGCATGTGGTTTATTCTATAGTCAACTTTCAAGGCATTTCAAAAGTGTAGCACTCACCAGGAACTATGTATCCCACATCTGAACCTGGAGGGAAAACCAAGTGACTATGGCTTTGGGCAAAAAAGAATATCATGACTAGCTTAAACCTTACATTCAATTGAATAGCCATTGATTAAATTTTAAATAAATCTGTATAAATGAGCTGCAATTTTTTCTGTAAGAGAGCCAATTAGAAGTTAGTTCATCTGAAAATATATTACACTAATGATGAATAAAATTTAAATTGATCTCTTGCAAGAGCTTTGTAACACACACACTGTTTCTACTTGCCAAGAGTTAATAATAGTCCTATGGTATGATTTATTAAGAAATATTTGTTTTTGGTAAACCAATTATGAGTTTGATGCATGCATTTAATAAAACTGTGCCATCAATTACAAATAGTTTGTTTTGTGCTGAATACTAGGAGTATACTGAATAGATGACAAATGTACTTTTGTTTGAAGAATGCATAAAAAGTACCGTATATACCATAATTTCATCTAGTAAGGAACCTCTACTTTCCAACTAGTGTGGATAAAGTCCACTGTTCAACTTATGACTGCCCTTTTGGGGGCCATGATTTTCACAATTTCGAGGCTGTGATTCCTGTTTTGAACCATGAACACATTTAAAAAACCATGAAAGTTAACATTCAAACTGTATAAACATTTGCATCATATCTCTAATTTTACCTTAAATACAGCAACTGAACCTTTTGCTTCATATTAGAGCAAAATTTGAACATTATTATGCAATCTTTTCATCAAGAATGCCTCATATTTTCATTGCAGCAAGCAATCTGTCTCACATGACCACAAGTAATAGACCATTAACACAAATGTTTTGGCAGCAAAAGATTTAGGCGGGGTGCCAGTAGCATGACCACAACTAAGAGAACATTAACAAAATGTTTTGAAAGAAGGGTTGAATTGAAATTCAGAACATCAAATTTTGGTGGAATGATGTCATGTCAAACTAGGTAATAATGGACGGGTGGGGTAAATTGGGACAATCCTCTGACATTTCATAGAACTGCTGTAAAAACCAAACTTATTGAAATATTGCAAAACTAAAAATAGTGGCATAAAGTTTAACATTGTTCCTATCTATGTAGCATAAAGCAATTTAAGAAATCATACATTTACTACTGTCAAATAGGGTAATAATAAGGGAGTAATGCACGTTGTTTGTTTATAGAGCTCTTCTTACCAGGCAATATTTCTTTAACAAGTTTGTGCTCATATTAAAGCTCTTTGCAAGGGCTATTGTATGGCATCTCCTAGAAAATTCCATATGCTATTTGCAGGGTGCCAGACGCAAAATAAAAGCATCCCAAATTACCCCTGGGAATGAAGTAATCTGGGACATTTGAAATAAAACTTAATTTGGAAATGTTTGAAGCATGCAGAGCGTACTCATTCATTACTAACAGCACTCTTAAGTCCTCCTCTTCCTTTGTGGATGATGTAGATGTAGAATAAATGACATTTTCTGTGATTTTTACTTGTTTTTCCTATATTGATATGACATTACCATATGACATTACCATATTACCGTATTATTATTGTCATATTACCGTATCCATGAACATGCCATTGAGCATTTACAACAACCTTGTCCACTGCAAGCTTCGTATCAGCAGCCTTATAGCATTTTTTCTGTATCTGTTAGCTTATAGGACTGCTCATAATCTCACACCATTTTAATTGAGTCAAGTTAATCTACCATAAAAAAAGATTGTAAAAAACATACCTGAAACAGAAAGGAATATTTTAGTAACTACCATCATATTTTTTGGAGAAATAAATCATAGTTTAGATTAATTACTTTTCATTCTATGTTGCCCAGTGCACAATTCTATCATCATGGAGCACAATATCATGGAACTGGCTTACCTGGGATGCAAGATTTTTCTAAATGTGTCCCCCTAGAGCACCACTTCAGTATCCTACTGCTAAGTTGTCTGCATATTGAGATTATCACATCTGGTACACTGGGTAAATCTGACATCATAATATTGAACAGAGTGGTAAAAAGAACTGATCCCTGGGACCCTGAGGGACCCGACAAAATGGGGAGCTTGCCAGAATAAGCACCTTCAAAGAATATTCTAAAGGTGCATGAGCTAAGGTATGCATTGATCCAGGACAACATTTGTCCTCTAAAGCCAATCTTCTGAAGCTTGTACAGCAGCCCTAGGTGCCATACACAGTCATAGGCATTGGATAGGTCAAAGAATACTACTGCTGCACACAGCTGCCTCTTGCGCAAGGTGTGGGCCGTGTGGCAGATACACATTTCCAACCTGGCAACCTGATTCAAGGCACAAAGATGGCACCTGTAACCACTCTGGGTGGGGCTCAGACTCCCAGAAGTCTCCAAAGCATATATCAGCAGTGAGCTAATAACTCGCTCTAATAATTTTGGAATGCAAGGTAAAATTGGGCGATATGATGCTGGATCACTGGGGGACTTTCCGGGTTTAAGTATGGGTATGATAGTAGCATGTCTCCATATGGTTGGTATCTCCCCATTCCTGTAGCAGTGATTTAATATATCCAGGAGCCAGTCTTCATAGTCTGGCAAGAGGTGCTTTAACATTGCATTATGCACCATGTCATGGCATGGTGATGACATATTCAATACCTTCAAAGCTTGCCACAGCTCATACAGCAAGAATGAATCATTATATGCAGCAGGATGCTCCACACTTACAGCAACAGCAATAGGGAGTATGTAGGACTCACTGGCAGGGTGAGAACCTCTCAGGCCTGCTGCACCCACCAAGCTTGCATATTGCTCAGCTATTATGTTTGCTATATGAAGAGGATCTGTGATATATTGTTGATTGTAAAATAGTGGAGTAGCGCAATGGACTGCTTGTTTATTTGCCAGTTCCCCAATTCTCCTCCATACCTTGATCACTGAGGTAAAACTGAAAATTCCTGAGATGAAGTTTTTGAATGACTCCTTTTTGGCTTTCTTGATTTCTTGCTTCACAAGTGTCTCTGCTCTGGAGTGCTATCAAATTAGCCAGTTTGGGGGTATTCTTTAACTTGTTTCTTGTAGCATGTCTTTGTTAGACAAGGGCAGCACAGGTCTGATTTTAGTATATTGGGGTTACCAGTTCTGGGGTCTTCCTGAACACATTTCCGATCATTTGAATCAGCCTTATTGTAAAAGTTGTTACCTACTCCCCAAAATCTCCACTTCTCTGGGCATGACCCAGGGCTGCCTTCCATGTCCACCAGCTGTCAGGTTTAAAAATCCACCTCGGTCTAGCTCTGAAAGTTGCTATGGCATGGTTATAGTTAAGTGTAATGAGTACCAGCTCATGGTTGCCCCCCATCTCATCCTCCAGCACAATACAGCAATCCCTTGATTAAGGCGGTTAATAAATCCCCGAGTTTTACCATGTTAAGCAAAACCGCGCTAATCAAGCTCAAGAATATATGGGAATAATTATAATGAATCCTCAAAAATAGCAATGTTACATAATAATTATTTTTTCCACTAAAATTCATCATATTTTGCTTAGTTCAATTCATCATTCAAGCTTAGTCTCCAAAGTGATATTTTTACGTTCAAGTGTTCCCTTTTTGTCCATAATTATGACGGTAATTTATCAAGGAAAATTATGTACATATTTGATAAAAGTGAGCAGTAGATATGGCAGCGATCTTGACCAGTTGAAGGCTAACGAGTAACTAGAGCACCGGCATGGCGCACTTACCGGCGAACATTGCCGAACTTGACCATTTGAGTTATGAACGAGACAAGGCGCGGTTAAACCGACTCTGTAGTCAGCACGAGTGCCTACGGAACAGGACCTTATTTAAAGAATTATTGGCTGAAATTCATAAAGTAACAACATTTGGTGAATTTTTCCAAAAGTCATAACAAAAGTAACAACATAAGATCTAATAAGCAAAAAGTAACACTTCTGTTACGAACGTAACACCTCTGGCTAGAGGCAGGAAAATGATGCATTGTGAAAAAAAATCACGCTAATCAAAACTGGCACCGCGTAGATCAAGGGTAGGTTGCAAAATTTTTTTCCGCATTAATCAAAACTGCGGTATTCAAAACCGTGCCAATCAAGGGATTGCTGTACTGGCACTTGGTACCAAATCTGTTGATACATAACACAGGTCAAAAGCAGAAAAGTTGCCTGTTTTGACATGTAAATAGGTAGGGAGAGTGCAGTGTTATCAAATAAAGATTAGGGAATTCTGCCAAGCTATCAACTAGATTAACTCCTGTTCTGTTGCTGTGCGTTCTTGCGTCACACATATGATGGTGGGCATTGAAGTCCTCAACCACAAAACAAGATGGAGTTAGCTGCAGAAAATATGTCATGTTGTTTGTTGTGCATTGCCTTTTCTTCAACTTCGAGAAGTTTCTCCAACTGCCAATGAGTTTCTCCTCAATTTGAAAGCTGAGGTAACAAATAGGTGCCATAAATGTTTTTTTATATTTAATTTGAAACTATTATGTTGGGAGTAAATAGTATTTCCTTCTGTAGATCCATCCTCTTGCTCATCTGTGAGTGATGCGCGCAATTAACAATCTTGCATGGGACCTTCTCTGTGTTGTCTGACTTGACGTTCATACAATCATAGCTACTGCAACCGAAGCTGATTTCTGACGGCCTGCAAACCTGTTTCTAGTTGCCTGGAACATTTTTTTTAAGGCGGAACGTTTTTTTTATGTGATCCACGAATTTTAGAATTCCAGCCTGTCCAGGACTACCATGGCTATAGTTGTAATGTCCTCCAAATTGAATTTTGGAGGGTGAGATATCCGTTCTGTCTCTGCATAAGTTTGACTAGCTGCCTCTATAGCTTCTGTTTGGGTACCGTCAACCGGGGCTACTCGGGACGGTTTTGAGCATTTTTTGTTAATAACTTCTTACGATGAAACATTTCATAAACAAGTTTAGGCTCATTTTATAGCTCTTTGCGAGGGCTATCGAATGGCATATTCAAAAAAATTCCATATGCTATTCGTAAGGTGCCAGAAGCAAAAAAAGAGTGTCCCAAGTATACCCCGTCGAACGGGGCTACTCGGGACACTGGGAATGAAACTTCATTTTAAAACACTTGAAGCATGCAGAGCGTACTCATCCATTACTAACAGTACTCTGAAGTCTGGCGAATATTTTTTTTGCTACAGACCTTAGCAGAAGTAACTTTTCAAAACAG